GCGCAATTGGCTGCCGCATTCTCCCACAAATATACAGTCAATTCACTTTACAGTGTGTTCTGTGAAGCACTTTGGGACGTCCTCCCGACGTGAAAAGCGCTATATCAAATGCAAGGATTATTATTATTATTATCATTATAGGGAAAGAAGAAAAGGAGGGGGTTTGGCAATATTGATTAAAGACACAGTTATAGCCCTGGAAAGGGACCATGTGCTGGAGGGCCCCAAAAAAGAATCTATTTGGTTAGAGTTAAAGAGCAGAAAAGGAGCTGTTACTCTGTTAGGCGTATACTATAGACCACCACCAACAACAATAAGATTTCATTTATAGAGTGCCTTTCACGTCGGGAGGACGTCCCAAGGCGCTGGACACACAAGCAAATCTGCAAGCAGATTCCAGAAAGATGTAAAACCAATAGAGCAGTGACAATGGGGGACTTCAATTATCCAAACAATATCTAGTTCTGGGGAATGAAGTGGGGCCAATCCAAGGTGGAGTGGAAAGAAAGATTGGGATGGTAAAACAGCTAATGAGCAATGGGAAGCCTTCAAGGAGGAGATAGTTTGGGGACAGAACAAATACATTCTCACAAAAGGGAAAGGTAGGGCATTCAAACTTCCCTGGATGAATAAGGAAATTGGGATTAAAATAAAACAGAAAAAAGAGGCTTATGATAAATGTCAGGTTAAAATACAGAAGATATTCAAATACAGTATAGAAAAAACAGAGGAGATCTGAAAAAGGAAATAAAAGAGGCAAAGAGTTTGTACGAGAAAAGATTAGCAGGTAACATAAAAGGGAACCCTAAAGTATTGTATAAGAATATAAAGAACAAAAGGTTAGTCAAAGGTAGGGTAGGTCCAATTAGGGACCAAAGAGGAAATCTTCTTGTGGAGGCAGAGGGCATGGCTGATGTGCTGAATGACTACTTCTGTCTTCACAAAAGAGGATGCAGCCAATGCCACAGTACTGGAGGATAGGGTAGAAAAATTGGATAATAATCCTTGCATTTGATATAGCGCTTTTCACGTCGGGAGGACATCCCAAAGCGCTTCACAGAACACACTGTAAAGTGAATTGACTGTATATTTATGAGCGAACGCGGCAGCCAATTGCGCACAGCAATGTCCCACAAACAGTCGTAGATTGAAAATGAACAATGTACTATTATTTTTGGTTTTGGAGGGATTATTATTAGGCTCTGTGTGGAGTAAGGAAACTTGTCCAAGGTTTCGCCCTCTGCCTGGAATTGAACCCAGGTCTCTCGCTTGCAAAGCGAGTGCTCTAACCACTGAGCTACAGGACTCCACGAATAAATCAAGAGAAGGTACTAAAAAGGTTGACGGTGCTCAAGGTAGATAAGTCACCTGTTCCGGACTGGATGTATCCTCAGTTACTGAGGGAAGGGTGGAAATAATGGAGGCTCTGGCCACAAACTTTCAATCCTCCTTGGATACCGGGGTGGTGCAAGAGGGCTGCATGGTTGCAAATGTTACTCCTCAACAAAAAGGGGCAGAAGCATAAACCCGGAAACTACAGGCCAGTCAGCCTAACGTCAGTAGTGGGGAAACCTCTAGAGCAGGGGTGCCCAACCATTTGCCTGTAGGCACCATGGTTAGGTGGGCACCATTTTTAGGTGCCTGAATGAATTGGAAAATAATCATAACATGAAAGAAGTTTAATTTGCCGATTTCGAACATGCTGGCTGGCTTGCTGATGCACACTTGGCCACAAGCTCTGCTCGTCCTTTTAGGGAATCTATGTATTACACAGCAACCAGCAGTGCACATTACTCCCCCATCCTTATATGGACATGTCCTCATCAGTCCTAAGGTATGTCACCCGAAAGAAAACTTGATTTCTTCCCTCTACGCACGACCCCATTTCCTGGTTTTTGACCAGATGCGGAAACACAGACCCGGCAAACAACCACAACAGCCGGCCAATCAGTTTCTTGGCCTCGATTTTAATACCGATCCCTGGGGGACGCCACTGTACACTTCCCTCCATTCAGAAAAGCAGCGGTTCACCACAACTCTCTGCTCTCTGTCTCCCGGCCCGTTCTGGATCTGCTGCCACTGTCCCTTTTATACCGTGGGCTTCTATCTTTCTTGCACATCTTTCATGTGGCACTTTGTCAACTGCCTTTTGAAAGTCCATATAAACTACATCACCTTTATCCACCCTCTCCGTTACCTCATCAAAAAATTCTATTAGATTTGTTAGACAAGATTTGCCTTTAACAAATCCATGTTGGCTGTCCCTAATCAACCCATAGGCTGTCCATAATTATCCCAAGAACCTGATTGGCCGGCCCAATTGCCACCAATGACCGCCCATCATTGACAACAGATCCCATCACCTGCTCCCTAGATCCCATCCCCACCTCTCTCCTCATCTCCCAGCTCCACCTTCTGGCCCCTCTCCTATCCGACGTCATCAACCTCTCCTTGTCCACCAGTTCAGTTCCTAACCCCCTAAAAACTGCCATTATCACCCCCATCCTGAAAAAACCTTCCCTGGACCCATCCCTTGTCTCCAGCTATTGTCCCATCTCTAACCTCCCATTCTTCTCCAAGGTCCTGGAACGAGTCGTGGCGTCCCAGCTCCGCTCCTTTCTCTCTCGCCATTCCCTATTTCAACCCCTCCAATACGGCTTCAGCGCTGCCCATAGCATGGAAACAGCCCTGGTCAAAGTCACTATTGCCATTCTGAACATCTGTGATCAGGGCTCCATCTGCCTCCTTGGCCTCACTGTCACCTTCGACACTGTCGACCACTCCATCCTCATACACCGCCTCTCCACTTTACTTAATCTTCATGGAACGGCCCTTGCCTGGTTCGATCCATGTCTCTTTCACTGTTTCCACTTTGTTGCCTCTAACGGTTTCTCCTCCAGCCCCCGCACTGTCACGTCTGGCGTCCCCCAGGGCTCTGTCCTTGGCCCTCTCCTCTTTAATATCTACATGCTCCCCCTTGGTGACATCGTGGAGTCCTGTAGCTCAGTGGTTAGAGCACTCGCTTTGCAAGCGAGAGACCTGAGTTCAATTCCAGGCAGAGGGCGAAACCTTGGGCAAGTTTCCTTACTCCACACAGAGCCCAATAATAATCCTCCAAACCCAAAACAATAATAAATTGGTCATTTTCAATCTACGACTGTTTGTGGGACATTGCTGTGCGCAATTGGCTGCCGCGTTCGCCCACAAATATACAGTCAATTCACTTTACAGTGTGTTCTGTGAAGCGCTTTGGGACGTCCTCCCGACGTGAAAAGCGCTATATCAAATGCAAGGATTATTATTATTATTATCATCCACAGACATGGGGTCAACTTCCACATATATGCGGATGACACCCAACTCTATCTTTCTGCCTCCACCCACAACTCCAGGACCACTGCTGTCCTGACAGACTGCCTGTCGGACATCAAGTCCTGGATGAGGGAAAATTTCCTAGTTGAATGTGAACAAGAGTGAGGCTCCTGATTGGCTCGCGCCACCGCCTCTGCGACTCAGGCTCTGGCAACATCAACCTCCATGGTTGCACACTACAACTCACCAAGCCAGTCAGGAAGCTAGGTGTTTTGTTCGACCCTTGACTGTCTTTTCTTCCCCAATCCCTCCATCTTGCTCCTTCCCTCCCTATCTTTATCCCGCCTAAAGACCTTCCTTTTTGATTGAGCTCACGGTCACCTCCCCCCTCCCTCATCCCCCTGGCTTGGGGTCAGACTCTACCCTGTGTGAAGCCACTGTATAAATGCAAGTTGTTGTTGTTGTAGTCGATAGGCGCTATACAAATGTAATTTGTTGTTGGTCAGGCTCACACCTATAAATTCCCGCATTTGATACAGAGCTTTATCTTCGAGACGTCTCAAAGCGCTTCACAGAATATACTGTAATATTCAGCGCCTTGGGACGTCCTCCCGACGTGAAAGACGCTCTATAAATGGAATCTTGTTGTTGTTGTAAAGTGTAGTGACTGTGTATTTTGTGGGCGAAACGCAGCAGTCAATTGCACACAGAAGTGTCCTACAAACAGTCGTGGATTGAGTGACCACAATTGAATCCACAATCAATCTCCCTCCACTCGATGACCAAAAATGTTATTCTGTTTTTTAAAAGAATTATCTCCAGAAAGTGAGCCATCAATCGACTAACAAGTAGGATCCTATTTACTGCTAGGTAAACAGAGAAGTAAGGAAACTTGCCCAATGTTTTGTCCTGCCCGGGAATCGAACCCTTGAGGCGAGTGCTCTAACACTAATCTACAGGACTCCACCTGGTCAGCTACACATAGTAGTTTGTGACTGTGTGAACAAATGTGAGATATGTTGTTTTTATTGGAATTTACAATTAATTGAATTTAATAAAAAAAACTCACACTTACACAGAGCGTCTCACACCTACACAGGGCGTCTCAAACACAGAAGGTGGGGACAGACAAGCTGAAGGCACAACCGCCGATGGTGGGGCAGACGGGGGCCTACTGAGCTGAGAGAGCGGACGGGTTGATGAGCGGTTAGCAGGTTGGAGATGTAGGAGAGGCCAAGACCATGGAGAGCCTTGAAGGAAGGTGAGGATGAGAATGTTGAATTCTATCCGCTGACGGATGGGGAGCCAGTGGAGTCGGGCGAGGATGGGTGTGATGGGGTCACGGAGCCTGTGTGGTGCAGTTCTGTATGATCTGCAGCTTGTGGAGGGAAGAGTTGGGAAGGCCAACAAGCAGGGCATAGTTGGCATAGTTGAGCCTGGTTGTAATGAAAGCAAGTATGAGGGTTATGGCGACCTGAGGGGTGAGGTTGGGCAATGTTGCGGAGGTGGGGAAAGACATCCAGGACTTGATGTCTAACAGACATTCTGTCAGCACAGCAGTAGTCCTGGAGTCAAGGGTGGAATGGGGAGGGGGGAAGACGGGAAAGAGCAGGGGAATGGAGTTAGAGTTGAGAGCTCCATTGTGAGCGTAGCGAGCACCAGTAGAGACATTATGCTTGAACGGTGATTAGAGAGCTTTCTCCTTGCTGCTCACTCTTCATTTAGCTGATCTCTCAAAGATCTCTTGAAAAATCCAAGCTGTGATTGATTCAAAGAAAGAAAGAAAATGTGTTAGAGCTTTCCCCCAGCTAGGACCACTCTACCCATTAGGGCTTAGGCTGCAGGATTAACAGGAGCCGAGTGGGAGGATTCCTTGCCCCCAGTGACTGCTCAGCAGTTTCAAGTCCTGCTGATGAGCTAAAGTTCTTGTGTTCCGGTTTGCCTGTTGAGTACGGATGTTAAGGATTTCCCGTGGCGCTGTTGGAAAAGGGAAGGGTGTTTCTCTCTCTCTCTCCCAATGTCTAGACTCAGTCGCTCGCTCTCTCAGCTCCGATTCAGAAGGTTGTAGGTTTAAGTGCCTCTTGTGTTGGGAACTGGAATCACAGTCAAGCTGACACTCCCGCACAGCGCTGGGGGGAGTGAGCGTGCTGCATTGTCAGAGATGTCCTTCGGATGAGATGTTAAACCTCACTCCCCATCCATGCCTTGTTCGGGGCGGACATTAAACATCTCCCACGGGATTGTGGGTTGTGGAGGGTATTGGGGGGGAGGGAAAGAAGGGAGTTTCTCTCTTTCTCTCCAGGTGTCCTGACAATACCACAAATAAAATTGCTTGTTCGCTCCACGACTCTTGTGGGACACAGCTGTGTGCAAACCAGCTGCTGCATTTCGCCCACATTACACACGGCCACTACACTTTACAGTAGGTCCTGTGAAGCACTTTGAGTCTCGATACTATAATGTGTCAGTACCTTGTACATTCCTGCCACCACAATGAGCAGTAAGAGTAATCCACCAACGCTGCTTCCAATGATCACTGGCAACAGATCGTATTTCTCAAAAATTTCTACCTCTGTGAAGATCTGGAGAGTCAAGGAAACCCAGTCATTGTGAAGCTCTGAGACGTGCGTGTGGTGTGAGCAGCGCTGTGTGTGTGAGCGCGAGGCGTTGTGAAGCTCTGAGACGTGCGTGTGGTGTGAGCAGCGCTGTGTGTGTGAGCGCGAGGCGTTGTGAAGCTCTGAGACGTGCGTGTGGTGTGAGCAGCGCTGTGTGTGTGAGCGCGAGGCGTTGTGAAGCTCTGAGACGTGCGTGTGGTGTGAGCAGCGCTGTGTGTGTGAGCGCCAGGTGTTGTGAAGCTCTGAGACGTGGGTGCAGTGCGAGCAGCGCTGTGTAAGTCTCACTCCTGTACCTCAACGCTGTGGCTGAGAGGATTCGACAGTTCAATGTATCGATTCTGATTGAACGAGATATCTCCCCTACTCCACATCACCGACTTGTTCAAGCTTCTCTGTATGGAACAGAAATGAGATGATTAAAACGTGAGTAAAATATATCAGCCTGTGGCTCAGTCGCTGTGTGTCAGCCTGGCTCAGTCGCTGTGTTTCTCTCTCTTTCTCTTGCTCTCAGTTTCCTCACTGACAGTCCCACAAATAAAATCGCTCAATCACTCCACGGCTGTTTGGAGGAAGTTACTGTGTGTAAACCGGCTGCTTTACAGTGTGTCCTGCAAAGCGCTTTGTGACATCTCAAGAACGTGATAAAGATTATTGTTCTCACCTGGTGGCTCTCAGTTAAGTGCACGTCTCCGATAATAGTAAAAATAACGGGTTTATTTTTCTCCAGGGAATGAACGACGCAGGTGACTGTCAGATTGTCGCTGGTCAAGCCCTTTTACACATACACACAAATATTAACAATTATCAGCTAACATCTGAGAGAATCTGCTTTCTGCACAAAACCTCGCGCTCACACACACACACTCATGTACACACTCACAAACAGTCACGTACACACACTTGGACACACACACACAATGTTAGACAGCTAAAGTCTGAGAGAATCTGGTTCGTTTTGGACGACTGTAATCGCTCACAAGCTCACACTGACACTCACATAATAATAATAATAATAATAACATATACACTGACACACACACACTCACACAAACACACATTCACACCCACTCACACAGACACACACAGAGCTGTGATAGTCACAGGAACTAAATAGTTAGCTGCCGTCATTGCCACCTTGTTTTGTTCATTGGAGCAATCCAATCCTTTGCTCTGTAACAGAAGGTAACTTGTGTCAAAATGAGAGAGCGAGAGAGAAAGGCAAAGCGAGAGATAGAGAAAGATACAGAGAGAAAGAGAGAGAGAGAGGCAGACATAGATACACACGGCATTGACGTGCTCAGAGCTGTTACTCACGCTGTCACTAAAGATGGGCTGGGTGAGGGTGAATGTGAGTTGGGCCTGGATGTTGAGGGGAATAGTAAAGGTGACATTCACAGGCGGATTGTGCTGTCCTCTGCTCTCCAGCTTCACCCCAAACACACAAGCACAAGGATTCACACACATTTAATCACCATCATCATAATAATAATCATTGCATTTGATATAACAACCACAACAAAATGATGTGTATAGCGCCTTTCATATCGGGAGGACATCCCAAGGTGCTGGACAATCAATGTTTTGGGACCCGAGCTGGGGAGGGGGCAGCAAGGTCCTCTGAAGGTGAGGACCAGGATCTTGAACTGTACCCTGTGTGATTGGAAGCCAGTGGAGTCGGGCGAGGATGGGGGTGATAGGATCTCGGAGTCTGGTGCGGGAGAGGACACGAGCTGCAGAGTTCTGGTTGATCTGCAGTCAATGGAGGGAGGAGTTGGAGAGGCCGACAAGCAATGAGTTTGCATAGTCGAGCCTCGATGTAATGAAGGCGTGTATGAGGGTTTCGGTGGCCTGCGGTGTGAGACACTGGCGAAGCCGAGCGATGTTGTGGAGGTGGGGGAAGGCAGAGCAGGTCATGGTGTGGATGGGGGGTAGAAAGGATAGTTGAGCCCAAGGTTCGGGACTGGCTTAGCAAGGTGGAGTGTGCAAACATGGATGGTGATGCTGTCAGCCCCTGAGATGAGGAGGCGCTGATGGGAGGCAATCAGGACAGCCTCGGTCTGGTTGATGTTCAATTTAAGAAAGTTAGCTCTAATCCAGGACTTGATGTCTGACAGACATTCTGTCAGGACAGCAGTGGTGACACCCAACTCTACTTCTTTGCCTGAGGCACGCCGCACGAGACGGTGGGGGGACTGGAAGAGAACTCGTTTGTGGAGATGAAGTGGAGACGGTGTGAGAGGTACGATCTGAACCAGTCAAAGGCAGAACCACAAAGCTTGAGGTGAGAGAAGCGTTGGAGGAGGACAGAGTGGTAAATGGTATCAAAGGCAGCAGAGAGGTGAAGGGGGGTGAGGAGGCAGAGGGAGCCTTGGTCGCAGATTGACAAAATGTCATTTGTCACTTTGACTAAGGCTGTTTCTGTGCTGTGGGTGACACAGAAACCCGATTGGAGGGGTTCGTGAAGGGAGTGGCGGGAGAGGAAGGAGCAAAGCTGGGAAGCAACGACTCATTCCAGGACCTTGGAAAGGAATTAGAGGTTGGAGATGAGGCAGTAATTTGAGAGCAGGGATGGGTTTTTTAAGGATAGGAGTAATGACGGCCATTTTTAATGGGTTGGAAACGATACCAGTGGACAGGGAGAGGTTTATGATATCTGTGAGTAGAGGGGCAAGGAGGTGGAAGAGGGAGGTAAGGGAGAGGGGAAGGGACGGGATCGAGGGAGCAGGTGGTCTGTTCCAGGTGGATTATAGTGGTGGTGAGAAACAGGTGGGGGAGACAGGTTCAAAGGTGTGGAGGGAGGGATGGGTAGCGGCCAGGGTGAGAGGGGGAGATGGGGAGTGAGTAGCAGATGGAAGGCCAGAGGCAACTGAGCGGATCACTTCGACTTTGGTTTCGAGGAAGTCCAACATTTCCTCACAGTTGGCGTTGGAGGAGAAAATGGGTGAGGCGTGAGAGGGTGTGCGGAGGAGCCGGTTGGTGATGGAGAAGAGGAGTATGCAGTTGTTCTTGGCCTCCAAGATTGTCTTAGACAAGAAGGATGATTTAGTGGAGGCGAGGGCGGAATGGTAAGATTTAATAAGCTCCAGCCAGATCTGCCAATGGACCGTTAAGTTAGATTTGAGCCAGGTGCGTTCAGTAGCATGCACCTGTGCCTTGAAAGAGCAGAGGTGGCTGGTGTACCAGGGTGACTTCCGGTAGGAGGCGGTTTTGGAAGTGAGGGGAATAAGAGCATTGAGAATAGTGGAGAGGCTGTTGCGGAGGAGAGTGACCGAGGAGGATAGGTCATTCTGGGAGGACGCCCAGAGGGGAAGGAGTTCAGATGACTCCAAAGCAGCTGAGAGGGAGTGTTGGGGGTAGATATTTTTCCAGGGGAGGTAGGAGATAGAGGTGGGTTGGGTGGCGGTGGGGAGAGGGACTGAGGAGTTAAGGGAGATGAAGTGATGGTCCGAGATCCCTTTGTCGGTGATGGTGAGATCTGAGATGGTGAGGCTCCGAGTGATCACCAGGTCAACGGGGTGACAGCGGATGTGGGTGCCAGAGTTGACGTGGGGGAGAGGTTGAGGGAGGAGAGGAGGGAGAAGTCAGCAGAGGTGTTATATCTAAAGCATCTTATCATGTCTTTGAGATGTCTTAAAATGCTTCACAAAAACATATTGTAATGTAGTGACTGAATATATTGTGGGCAAAATACAGCAGCTGATTGTGCACAGAAGTGTCTATTGAGTGACCAAATTATTATTATTTTTTGTTTGAAGGGATTTTTACCCCTCGAAAAGCGATGTCAATCGACTAACAACCGGGTTCCTACTTACTGCTGGGTGAACAGAGGTGTGTGGAGTAAGGAAACTTGCCCAAGGTTTTGCCCTGCCCGGGAATCAAACCTAGGTCCTCTCCCTTGAGAGGCGAGTACTCTAACCACTGAGCTACGGGATTCCATGCATAATAATCTTTGCGTTTCACACGGCACCTTATCACATCAGTGAGACGTCTCAACTCGCTTCACAGGACACCCTGTCAAGTGCAGTGACTGTGTATTTTGTGGGTGAAACATGGCAGCCAATTTGTGCACTGTGATATCCCGGCAAACAGCCGTGGAGCAAGGGAGCTATTTGATTTGGGGGATTATCGGCCAGGACACCGGGACAGAGAGAGAGAAACGCCTCTTCCCCCCAGAAAGCGCCGTGGGAGATCTTTAATGTCCGCCACGAACAGGGAACAAACAGGGAGTGAGTGAGGTTTAATGTCTCATTCGAAGGATGGCGTCTCCGACAATGGGGTGTCCTCTCTCTCCCCATCGCTGCCCTGGAGTGTCAACTTGGACTGTGATTATAAGTCCCCAACATGTGGGGGGCTTGAACCCACAACCTTCTGGGTCAGAGGTGAGAGAGTGAGCGACTGAGCCGGACTGGCACTCACAGGTAAATGAAGGAGAGAGAGAGAGAATGAGAGAGAACAGAACAGAGGATATACCTTGTATGTGTGAATCACGCTTTTCTTCACGTTCTTATCTTGTGTAATTCGAATATTCCTCGTGCTCTCAAACCTGCACAGGGGGTAGAGGAGAGACACAGGCCATTAATGTGGGTTGACCGAGTGTGGAGGCTCATGAGGAAGTGGTGATGGGGTGCACAGCTGGCTCCAAGGTGACATGTTTGGCAATGGAAGGTCAGAATACAGCCAGTCCTCTGTGACGGTCTCTGATCCGGTTCCTGAGCCAGGCAGGTTCTAGTAAATAATATGGTTGGAAAGTGAAAAGGACCCGGAGCTCCTGACTGACAATAAGTTGAAGCTCTCCCAACAATGCTCTGTGGCAGTGAGCAAAGCAAACCAGATGTTGGAGTGTATCAAAAGATCAAGAGCAGCTGAAATAGTGAGGTAATCCTGCCACTGTATAAATCATTGGTGGTACCATACTTAGAGACTGTATAGTTCTGGTCACTGCAGTACAAAAACAATGTGGGAGAAATCAAGAATATATAGAGGAGGGCAACCAAAATGATTTTCTTATTTCCCTATGTTCTTTTGTAGTATTCCAGAGCACTGTTGATGACAGTTCATCAGCAGAACAGTTTAAAGCCATGAGACGGTATTCTGTCAGTTTTTTCCACTGCTAAGTCCATAAGCGAACAGTCGCGCTG